GCCTCTTCCTTACAAGAGAAGATAGTTGGGGCTGCCTGCTTTCTGAGCCTGACAAAGGAAGACATCTTTTCCCCTCCGAGTTTCTTTAACGGTGCAAAGCTAGCATCACCCCCAAGCACTCCTCACCCCCCTGAATGCACACCTAAGGTCCCAGGTGGATAGGGACTCGCCTACCTTGCAGCCTCAGAGATCCCCCATCCGACAGAGGACATAGGGAGCTGCTGTGGTTGCAGCACCAGGGACCAGCAGCCCGATCTGCCTCGAGCTAAAGCTGGACTTGCCCTCGCAGGTCCCGGACAGACACTCCCCGCCCCACAGCCGGCGCCGAGCCCCGGGGCGGCGGCAGCGCCCCCCGGCGGGGAAAGGAGAAACCGCTCGGGATTAAGCCCATCGCATCCCAGTCCCAGGCGGTCCTAAAGCTCCTGCGGCGCAACATCCTTCCTGCAAGCTCACCAGCCCCTCCCAGGGCTCAGACGAGGACGGGAGAGACAAAAGAGGCTTTTACTGACAGAAGCGCTGTGCTGCGAAATGCATGCTCCCTGGGAAAGTTTCCTGTCTTGGAGGAGAGTAGCTAAAGAGCTCCTCCTGCTGCCCTGTGCACGGCATCGCCGGCCCAAGTCAGCCTCCATCCAGCTGCTGGTGGCCCCAACTGGTGGTGTCCTTTGCAGAGGAGTGCAACCCTTCGCTGGTAAAAGGAATCAGAACTCGGGGTGGAGGTGATCTTTTTTATTAGAGTAACTAGATGGGGGGGGGAATGTCTTTCTTTGCAAGGTTTTGGGTGCAAACACCCTTCTCTAGGCATAGGAGGAAAGATAAGTTCTCCTGGGTAAAAATGAAAGTTCATGTTTCATAGGAAAGTTGAAAATGTGGTAAAATCTCCTGTTTGGAACAGTTCATTCCCCCCCCCAGTTTTCTTGTTGTTGTTGCAAAAATCCAGCTGGCCTAGTAAAAAATATCACCTCTACCACGAGTCCTGACTCCTTTGCCTCTGGACCAATACAGCTTGCAACCTGAGTACCTGACAGTATTCACTTGCATTGGCGACACGTAGGGGGTGCATGTGGATGCACGTGCACCCCCTGAGCGTGGCAGTGCAACCCCCTGCAAAAAGGTGCCGCCGACACCACCAGCAGCATCTGCAGGTGGTCTGCGATCACCACTGGCCAACACTGCTGGCGGCGTCTGCGGGCGGTCGCCAACCGCTGGTCGGTGCTCGCCACCCCCTGTGCCACCGACTGCACCTGAGAGAGGTCCACGCTTGCCACCACCACCGACAGCGCTGCCGCTGCCTGCAGGAGCTCACCATGCCCCGCCAGCCTCCAGGGGCACAGAGCATTCATGTTTGCTTGTGAACCCAAGACTAGAGATCCTCATCAGTCCACCCACGCCAGCTACACTTGTCCTCCCCACCTCCACCGAAGCAAGGCCCTGAGGGTTGAAATCCCCCTGCACTGTGCTGTTGTCAGACCTGTCTGTAAATGATTCCTGCTCCACTTCTACTTAAAAGCAACTGCAGAGCCTTGTTGCTAAGAATTATAATCCTACCTGATGTTCCTATTGTTTTATGTGCTCACCTTCTCTTTCCCATTGCACAAGTCGGATGACTTCCAGACTGTCAATAGCAGCATTGCCAGCTCTGACAATGGTTTGAGTTTTTCATAAAGGGCCAGCTCGGGGAGGGATGTGATGACATGACAAGCTCAGTTGTTATTTCATGATGAGTAAGCTTAGACTTGCTACAGAAAAAACATTTGAAAACATGAACGTGAATGATTCCCAAGGCTGACGGTAAATAAAGAGAACCCCAAACTGGTTGTCTTAAAAGAGTTCCAGGTTTTAAGCCAAGTTTGTGATGTCAGCTGATTTAGACTCACATGATTTCTGAAAGTTTGGGGTGGAGAGACAATGAAGGCACTGGCTGGGAATGAATGCAGTTAAGCAACAAATGTCATGAATATGAGTGAGATGACTTGAAGGGGGAGAAGATGATGGAATAGGAAGCATAGTCCAGTATTTAGGGTACTAGCCTAGCACTTGGGAGTCCGGGCTTTAAGTTTGTGTTTTGCCCTAAGCTTTCCGTGTCACCTTGAGCAAGCCAGTTATCTTCTGTGTGCCTTGGGTCCCTCTGGGATCAGAGCGCTTCCCCTACCTCATGGGGATGTTGTGAGTGAAGGGTGAGAGGTACTGTGAAAAGTACCTGAAATAAAGGAAAAGCAAGGGTTTTTTGTGACATTTTTTACTGAAACAATTGTATACCTAGATGGGAGAGCTATTGGACAAAGCGGGCTTCCTCTGCCTAAGCCTGAGACAGAGCCATCATGTTCCTTGATTCCGACACAAGACTGAATATTCTGAATCAGAAGCGACCCAAACCACAAAGTGTGAATATAGATTTTAAATGAACACAAAGTCTGGCAGTGCTTCGGTCCCAGATGTTGGGTCAGGTCCAATTCTGTTTTTACATCTAACATCTGGATTTATGGGCTTTTTTTGTCTCATGCGGATGAAACAGCAGATTCTGTAAAAATTAACACACATGACTAGAACTTGTCGTGCAGCATGGCACAGAGCTGCTGTGCACTGTTAACAAGCTGTCAGGTTCCTCCCCAGACATAGTTGATGTGATGAATGAAGCAGTTCCTGTTGGGTATGTTTGCACTGAAGTCGCAGATATCTGTGTAGCCATCACAGTCTGGAGCTCAGAACAGGCTATAAAACCCACCCAGGAGACTGGGTAATACAAAGCTCTGCATTGCCATGGCTATACACTAACAATATCCAAGTAATCTCATTCAGTGTTAGCTCAATTATGTCTACATGAGCAGTGACTATATAGTAGCTATAGCCTACAACTCACCAGTATCTTCCCTATATCCCACTACTAGAACTGGATCTATTGGTTTCTCTAAGTGTCAGGCATTGTCCTAAACAGAAACTAATTATGGGGGGTCTGCAGGTACAAGGTAACCTAGGAGACACTGACCATC